GATCCGTAAAACACCATAACAACATCTAAGAACCCACAAGAAACTAACAAATTTCCTAAGAATAATTAGGAATCCATAAAATCCATAAGAATGCCTAAGAAATCCTAAAAATACTTACGAACCATAAATTCCATAAAAGCGAAGAACGAATAAAAGGTTCTAAGGACTCATAAAACTCACAACAATTCCTAAGAACCCATAAAAACTTTAAAAAGCCTTCAGAAGCCTTAAGAATTCCTAAGTACCAAAAACAACCTATGAAACCTCGTCAAATTCCTAGAAATCCCTGAGAATACTTAAAACAACTTTTATAAGAATCTCCAGCAATTCCTAAGAACTCACAAAAAGACTCACTTTATACTCGTAGATTCATTTCACTCCGGTAGAGTCGTTTCATACGGGTAGACCCGTTTCATAGGCATTGTGATAAACCAAAAAGCCCCCGTTTTATTTAACATGAACGGAATCAAGATATTTGTAAATAGCATGTCAACATATTACGTAATTAATGCATACAGAATGCGAACTAAGTCTCGAATAGGTACCAATACGTGGAACAGCATAGGGAATGTTCGCGGATGCGTAATAATTTATTGTAATTATTTCTCGAACCGGTAACGAACTGACAATACCTCGGTGACATTTTAATCTGAAGTGGACTTAGGGAAATAATACAGTAGACGGGGTAGTAACACTAACAGCAAATAGACATCATCAAGGGAGAAGAAAGGATGTACTTTTTCAATCTGAGTACATCCGAGAAGTCACCATTGAGCGCGAAGATCGTTGTAAGACATGAAGATAATTATTTTTTACATGAGTTAAATTAATGAGTTCATTTTAAAGGTGTAAATAAAATAGTGAATAAATGTTATTTTAGTGGAAATGGCTGATAATTTATAGTTTGTTGTTATTAATTAGAAAAGTCTATTAATTATCAGAACTTCAAGAGATAGCAATTCTGAACAGATTGCCTTTTCACATATAAGAGATATGAAGATAGCGTGTTGTATGTCGATACCCACAAGTAAATGGAAGTAGAATTAACGTAATAACTATTCCAGTAGAGGGAAAATTTATGAGGATAGTAGGGCTAGTTTCGATAGTATGCTGAAGCAGTAAGTAGTAATAACCGTAGATTCAATGAATTAAAATTTAATATCAATAAAGAGAGAGATTTAAATTATATAGAGATTCATTCGGTATTTCACAGTATAGCCGTTTTATACGGGTAGAGTCGTTTCATACGGGTTGACCCGTATCACACGGGTAGAGCCGTTTCATACTGGAATATCCATTTCATATGACCCTGACACGCATTCGGGTACCCGTTTCAATACGGGTAGGCTGGACCCGCACCTTCGGTAACAGGAGAAAAACGCAAAATAATGAAGTCGAAAAAGGCAAAAAGAGACAAAATAGCAAAAATAAAGAAGCTAAAATATGAAAAGGAAAATGAAAAGCTTCTAAAACAATCTCAGAAGTACAATTAAGTTATTCCTATTGTTAGAAGTCATAAAATAGTAACAGTAACAAAAAGGCATTTTTCCAATTTGCGGGCTCTGTTCGTCACATTCTGTCACCTCTCCGTGCCTACTCAACGGGCGGTGTTACTACGATTAGTGCGGGTGGGTGCGCCGTTGCGATGACGGGAAGCCGGACACGTTTATAACCAGCAGCACCGACAGAAACCTTCTGGCAATCGTAATTTGCGTTGGGGTATTGAGCTACCGAGGGAGCCCGAGTCTTCGGAACCGACTGCTCAATACTTCAATGGCAACAGTGATTCGAGCCACGACACTAGCTAGTTAGCTGGATCGAATTCAGTTTGTGTCTGCAGAATGAAGTAGTGGCCGCTGGTATGTTAAACGGTCTCCTGATTTCTTTTAGGGCTATGTACTTGCGGCGCTCAAAAATGATTCTCACAACAACTATTTTATCTTCACAGAAACCATTTACTGAACGAACGAATACAGATTATATTACAGGAATTTCCTGACAACGTCTGTGACACTTTTGCTGTCATTTAGCCAGATTCTGTATTTGCCTGGTATACTTTTCTTTGGGTGTATATCGGCACCACTGTTGGAAAACTGCAGGGACTGTCATTAGGGACTGTCATTGGTGGTGAAGTGTATGACCTCTTTTAGTGAGTCGAATAGGGCATATCTAGTTCCGGCGAAAATAGAGGATCTGGAGTCTCGTGGAAGAACTATGACTCGTCGATGGTGAGGCGCCGGAAGACCTCCGCTGGATCCGCACTGTACTGTTTTAGCAACTGTTGGCACATCTCAACAAGCTTGTTTCTGCGCAATGGGGAGGGTATGGGGCACCTATTGTGCACACACAGGATCTTCATCCTCAAATTTTCATGGATGATTTGTGTGGAGGGCCCCTGTCCTACACCTGTTGCCTTTTCTATTCATCAAACGTGATTCATTCCTTCGTCATAATCAAGTCATTGACGCACAGTCCTTTCCGTCTTTGAACTCTGATACCCAACAAAACAGGGATCTGAGACTTGGTGATGACTTAACACATACGGCTACTGACGTCTCGAAGTTGTATGAAGTAGTCACTCCTTCCATCCAGAGAAACAACACTGTCCACCGTTGCCCATATTAGGATGCTTACATATTGTCTTATCGATGTCTACCAACTTAGTGGCAAGCCGAAACAATTGCTTCTGCTATGAGCAGCATCACCATCTGATGGCGGGTGGCTGTAGACAGTACTATAGTCTACCTTCACGCCTACATCGACACAAATTTCAAAGTAATTTGCAGAAGTTATAGGGGGAGAGCCAATCAATATTGAACAAAATATACTAATTATACATTTGCTTTTTTATAAAATTTTATTTCTACATCATTAATACAAATAAATGTTGTGATGTTGTGAGTGCATAATTCACATATTCACTTGGCGCATGTGCATTACAAATCGCACATATAGTATTGAAACAATTGCTTAGGGCATGCACAATTTACTTCGAGTCAACTTTTTTTTCTCATGAGAGTCTTGTCTCCTTTCCTCAAAAATTTGTTGTTGCTGGTGTCAGTATCATTGATGTAATTATTGCAAATGCTGCAATTGCGTGATTTGGAAATTCAAATGCAAGCAGACATTACGTTCTATTCTTGACCCTTCTTTAATCATTCTAGTTTACTGTCAGTATGTATAAAATATCAATCGGTTCATACTTCGGTCTCAAAATGAAGCTTATATTCGAAAATAACCTTTTTTAAATTTCCATCTTTCATTATCCTTTAGATCGTGTATTTAATAATCCAGAGTGACATATTAAACTTTTATTGAAGGGGTTGAAAAAGATAACCTCACATAGCTGATATATTTTCAACCGAAAATACATCAACATACAAGAAAACGTACATTTTTTTGTTTGAGAACGCATTGGCTATTCTTTTGCATGACTTTTGCATGTTAAATGGAAATGTAAAAGTTAGACATTTTAAAATATTTTGTTGAAATGAAATGAAATCTACAATCAGTAAACCATTTAATCACGTCTGCGACTTTTAAATGATGTCTCTGTATTAAGGTCATCTTGGTGGTCGACCACTTCTGATCGGCGGATTGTTTGGATGCAACGATTATAGTCACCCCCCCCTCGACCCACCGCACTAGTGCTATCAATGGCACACGTACCGCTTTCTCTGTACAACACTGCTTTTTTTACATAAAAGTGTGATTCGCTTTACTGCCTGGTAGGATCGCTTGTCTCAATTCCCCCAATATCCCAACCGAATTTAATCAATGTAATGCAATGTATTTTTGAAGAAAACAGGGAGGGTGTTCTCTTTCTTTAGACATCACATACCTTTGCTCATTGCTTATAGTTAAGCTTGAAACTTAAACCTCATTTGCAGTTACCAGGTGGAAACGAATAGTCTCTTTTCGTCTGGCGAAAAGTGATTTTTTTAAAAATATTCTTGCAGATAGGCAAGTAAATAAGAGATGTGTGATGTCATTATGCCTGTAAATATATTTAAATCTTGAGAATGTCATTTAAGAGGTTTAGATTGTGTAGACAATTCGTTTTATTCCCGTAGAAAAAATGAAGTAGAAAACTAAAATTGAATTTAAATCCTATAAAATAGTGAGGTCCTAAACATCCATTTATTTGATAGTGACCCTTCTTACAAAATTTCTATCAGCGAGCACAGTGGTTGTTCAATTTTTATTCTATGCGAACATACATTTTTAAGAAAGGGTTACAATCTTATGTGGACGAAGTTGAATTCTTACGTTGAACATGAGATGCGAAGAACACATTCAAATCTTACACTATGTTCATTTCAAGCTTTTGAGGAATCTTATGTAAACGTTCGTTGCACTACGTTGAATTTCTATTGTTTTGTGCTCTCAAAGAAGGAAGGTGTTGAAAGGAAACTTCCCGTCTAATGTTTCAATGTATACACAGTCGTTCCCGCTGGCAACGGATAAACAGTAGTTTGCGTGATGAGCACATCATGGAAAGTGAAGAGCTTATTGCTGCGTATAGTACTTGGTCGCTGACGCCTAGCTCTTTGTTGGGTAAGCCCATAGCATTCGTTAGCTCGTAGATAAGAGAATTTGGAATACGCTGTAGACGTAGGTTTTGTTTCTCTTTTCTTCCATGTTGTCATTTGCGTGTGAGAGTTTGCTTCGTTTTTGTATCGTTTAGAACCTCTTGTAGGGAAGTAGGAGTGAACCTAATTAGGAATAATTCACATGTTCTTTTATTCCGATTAATGCTCTTTGAAATTCTGTTCGCAACCTTTTAGCAGCCATTATTTTCTGTCCAATTGTTCGAATAGAAAGTTAATGTTGTCTATTGTTTGTAATGAGTTTCCATGGTATAGAATGAAGGCCCCAGTTTACAATTGTAGAAAATCAATGACATTTTTATACTGATGACGCTCCAGTACCAAGAAAACTAAAACGCAATGCAATAGTCAATTCTCGGCCAAAAGAGTTTCCTGTAGAATTAAAATATCGTGAATGGCTGACCAAAATTCGACTTTGTCAGATTTCAGGAAAGGGACTCCTGAGGACGCATCAGAATCTGTGAGAACCAGAAGTTTATACACAGCTTACTCCTACCACGAAGAGACTGTGGAAAGTTGTCAAGTAGGTGAAAAATTTATTTTTATTGATTTATTGTCTTTATTAATGTTCTTGTAGTTGTCACAATTCAGCCATCAATGAAACATCAAATAACTGACACATTCATCTAACATTCATTTTTGCGAATAAGAAGCAGACATTTCTTGATACCAGTGACTTTTCTTTCTTTCTAACGGAAAAAAATTATTGAAAAATATGCTCATAAATGCTACAGCACTTTCCAATGCTGTAAGTTTCTTGTAATACGTTAAAACAATAGCTAACTATTGAAGTTAAATATATAAATTATAATTACTAAAATAAACATTTATTCGTTATTCGTTATTCGTTATTCGTTAAACATTTATTCGTTAGAAAACACTTAGTTTTCAAGAATTTTAAATATGGAGTAAATCGAAATTGAGCTTTCAATTTTATTTACTTCTTTTTAACTTGCTTCCAGTGATTCAATAAACCCTTCATTATTTTTCAATCATCAAAAGTCTCTGGGTTAATCCACTTTCACCAGCTCAAAAACTACGTTACCTATCATTTTAAGAACGAGACATGAAGTATTTGTGAGTTAGAAACAATTTTATCATATCTTTAAAACTTTATTTATGAGTTTCATCGTTACTGCAACTAAAGTGATTGAGTTGAATTTTTGTGATATAATACAAGATGAGGGTAAAAATATCCTTTCCTCTCGCTGTTCAGATATGTTGAGACCTGTTCGTTGTTTCATTTATCAATATCCATTATGATCTCTTTAGAATATATTTATCCACAAATCACATGTATTTTGAAGTGTTCCAAAATTTGTTACTTTACGTCTGAATTACATTTGAGAGTTCAGGCGATATTTTTTGAAAGTTGTTTTTAGAGGTAGTACTTGTAGTGCACTTCAAGAAACTCCGCGACTCGAAAATAGTTTTGAATTGATATAAACGAAGCTCATTAATACAATCCTTTATTCCAACATAACACTTTTTTACATAAAATTGGTTATTGAATTCTGTTCGTGTTTCGCAAGAACTTGTAAATGTTAAGATGCTAAGAGTAATATTAAGGTAATAGTATTTTAAAGTTCAAGAAAACTTTCTTTAACATGATCTTCATTTATCAAATCTAAAATTCTGCTTCAGGCAAGACGTATTTATTATGCAGTGCTATCGTTATTATTGCGGAAGTAGAATTTGTAATATATTATTCCATATTCTGTGGTTTCATATTTGTGTCGGAATGTTTTGTATAAACAGTGTAATTAAAGCAAGAGCTATAGCTCTGTAATATCATTTTCGAGTTTTTCATGCTCCGAAACTGTTTTCTAGAAGGGGAAAACTTCCATTTCACTAATTATTACCGTGAGGAAAGCGAGGTTTATTTGCAACTTTTCTGAGCGTAGTTTCGTGGAAGTCAATTTTGTTATAAGTTTGAAAAGTTTTTGGTTTCAAACATTTTTCATATTTCGTTTATAATGTCGGCTTATGTGGCATTACGGCTCTCAATTTACTTCCACAGCACTCGAACGTAACAATGGGTGTCATTATTACCCTATAATGCACCTGAAATAATAATAGCTCTTGTCAAGGTTACGGTAAAGGGCGATGGAGCCAGCAACATATGTTCAATAGCGGTACTGTACATAATATCTCAGAGTGTATGTGGAAGATGTGTCCGCAGGATCGACGCTAGTGGCGTCTTGAGTTCAGGTGGAAGCCAGAGACTTGAGGCCTTTCTCCGTGATCGCCCTGCTCCCTTGCTGCGGCCAAATATGTCGAGCGATTCTTCTCCGACTCGCGAGGAGCTGGAGGATGATTTGTCCGTGGTACGTCCTCCCAATTTCGTGCTCTCGCGGAAAACTGTGTTTCTTTCCATTCGTGGGAATGAATTCGTAATGAGAGCGATTGATAGATAGGCAGTTGATTTAATCTCTCAAAGCACGCGAGTTGAGTCGTGATTGCTGGTGAGTGGTGGTTAGATTTTGCGTGCTGACATACTTGCATCCTTATCGCAGCAAAGGACGTTCAGATAACAACTCTGTGTTTCCCGGCGATTTGATAATCTTCTCTCTCTACGGAGAATCCCAGCATCTGCTACGTCAAAGCCATATGATGAAATTAATTTATCCCTTTGAAACTAGTCAAGTAATTAGAGAGTAAGGAAGGGCTGAAACTGAAACTAGTCAAGTAATTAGAGAGTAAGGAAGGGCTGAAACTGAAACCGACTGAAACTGATGGCAGTGAAAAGTATACGTAAACACTACTTGTAATGTAAATATTATTTTATTTTTTTGTATCATTTTGCTTGTCTATTATACATTCGTAAAATCCCAAAAGTTAATCTTCGCGTTTTCGTAAATATCTTTGTTAGAGTTGACAGGACAGTACACTCCACAATCGTAAAGTCATTATTTGTTTTCTATTTGCCGACTTTCGCGTGAATTAAACATTGTAATAAAAAAGCGTACAATTATAATTTCTTAACCAATTTGACAAAAATAAAATAAAAGCCAATGCAGACGTATTTTTGGCACATTAAACTATTTAATAAAAATAATCACAAACTTTAAATATGTTTATGAGTCTGTGACACGGTAATTGCTATTGAGATATTTTAATTGAATAGGCATTTCAGTTCCATGACCAATTTGTTAAATTATATTGTTCCTTACAGAAATAATACTATTAATTTATGACTTGGATAATCATCACATATAAGTTATCATTATACAAGTTATCTTCTTACTTGTTTTGACACATTGCTCTTTTTTTGCTAGTCTTATTTTGAAGTATCCACAAGAGGCAAGAGAGACATGACAATTTTTATCGCTATTTCTCTGAATATGTTGCACAATAATTATAGAATATGCTACTCTATAATAGTATAAATTGCTGCTCAGTTAATACAAATAATGCTATATCAAACCCAAAGTTTGGTTATGCATTAGAGAATTCACAAAATAAGGTATTTTCATAACTCATAGCGATACAAAATAAGAACACAAATAATACATCTTGGTGTTATGATATTTTTCACTCAGATTTTCAGCTTGTGTTCACATTTTGAGAACGTTACATCTTATAAAGATGTTTATGACGTAAATCTCCATTCCTCATTTTAAATATAAACTAATTTGATCTTTAAGCAAATATGGGAATGAATATGTAATAGCCCATTAAGTAAAGATGTGTCGCAATTTGTTCAGTTGCAATTTCTATTGATAGGGTAGAGATACACGTGGTGTCCAGTTTTTCCGAAAAAACTCAAATATTTTTAAATTTTCTGCAGTAAATATTACTGTGCTTATGAATGCGAGTTATACCATATGTCTCTATTTTAAGTGCGTCCATTTCGGATGAGGGAATTCTGAACTTGTTCTAATCTTTCGCCAATCCCATCTTAGGCCAATATTCGTTACTCATCGGAACGTTGGTAATCAATAGTGATAGCAGTAAGAAAACTTGGCCATCCATTGCCAAGAACTGAAAGTTTATCGAATGCTCAAATCTATTTCCAATAAAAGAAAAAAATACGAAGATACAATGAAGGGAGATGTTGATGAAATTATATAGTAGTATTTCATGCTTATTGGAGTTGTCGTTAGATATTAGATTTCTTAGACTATTTACTGAAGTAGACGTTAGTCCCTAAAATATTTGAATCAAGCGCCGTCCAATTCGTGCTCATACTTTTACGAATATAACGAACAGAAGCACTATTAGTTCTAAACATGCTCCAAAACTGTTATGCTTGTTCTTACTACAAATACATTTTCAATTCTCACTCGAAAATCAAATTTTGTTTATATTGCTTTAATGGCATTCAATATTTTCAATATGTTTATAAAAATGTGTCTGTGCGGACATGTATGTATGTGGATGCATGGTTTTAGCTATAAAGGGGTGCAAAATGTTTTATTCATTGTTCTTTCTCGCTTCACTGCATTTATTTTTATCGTTTCAAAAATAAATTCTTGCAGAAAAAGTGACTGAAGCAGCATAAGCAGTCCAATGCATTATTTGGTGCGCGTGGGTATATGCATGTGTGTGTATGTGTACGTGTGTGTGTTTCTTTGTATCTGTATGTATGTCATGTTGAATTTAGTTTCGTATTGCCCCCACCATAGCACTTGTAATAACACACGTAAACAGACCAACTTTCAAATAACTTGTACCGGAAAAGCAGGAAGACTGATCATTTATTTTAGGGAATTTACGGTACTTTGAAGGCACAGAAAAAAGATACGGATTAAAAAATGTTTTTAATGCTAGCCATGCCGTTCTGCGTGAATTTCAGAAAATAACAGAATTCTCCTTTCTTCTACATACATCGTAGAACACAATAGAAATGTTTGTAGCTATCAATTTCATAATACATTAATATCTTGTCAAGGTTGGTTGTTTACCCAACTGCCCGATCACATCCTGTGATGCGAAATGGAACGTTTAATGGGGCAGTGCGCCAAATTAGGATTTTAATAATACGAAATAAATATTCCAATTGTACGTAATTACTACGAACTCAAGTAATATTTATTATTTGTCTTAAATCGGATAGCTGAAGTTTTTGGGAAAAAGTAATTCAGCAGTAGCTTATACGTGAAGTTTTATGTCAAGGACGCCTTGCAAGAAGTACAACTTCTAGCAAAAACATTTTGTTTAATGTTCAAATGAGTCGCCATTTGTCAATAACGGGTTACAAAATCTTCGGTCCCGAAGGGATCGGAAATTCAATACTTACGATTCGTCGTTTCTGAGTTATGCAATGGTATAGTAGCGTGAAATTAGTTGCGGATTGTATTTGCATTTGTCAATTAATACGTAACATAATGTACAAAATTTCCAATTTTTTTCTGTTAAAATAAATTATTCTGTTTAAATCTTATTCATTAATCTGTTTAAATCTGTTTGCTGCAGAACTGAGTAGTAGTATCCTACCGAACTACATTTACGGAGAGATTTGTGTCATAGAGTCTTAAAACTTGTCCTAAAGTTATCAATCAAAACATCACCTAAGCGTCCTATTCTGAGGAGATTTTGTTTTAAATATTCGTGTATGAATATGTTAAGTAATTGTACGATATGAAAAGTGATATAGTTATGAAAAGTGGAGATAATAATTACTTTGAAACTTGGTTTGAAAACTTCAAATGGAAACAGAAATGACCTTCAGTTCCTGTTCTTCAATGTGAACCTCGGATGGACTAAAGAGCATAATTATGCATCACATTGCTATTGTAGGCCAGCTCAGGATTATCGATTTTTTTAAACGAGTGTGTGGATGAATTTGCAAGCATAAGGCAGAATGAAGGATGCAACCAGTTGTGTCGGCAATACTCCCCCTTCTCTTCTCTTCAAATCTCGTTGATTAGATCTCGCAGTGAAATAATGTCGTGTATTCAAACTGACCAATAGGATTTCTCCCGTTTCCTTTCACAAATAATTTCTGTGACATACGTACGCGCGTGGTTTCTAAGTATAATTTGGCAGTTAACAAGTCCGAATCCTTGTGGCTCTTTGTTACATTATTGCATGCGTTCATTTGTAATAAAAGTTAACGCCCCCTCCCACATACACCGAGAGTAAGGACTCGACGAAGGGCGGTCTCTGACGGGCCACGGCGTGGGCCGTTCGGTTCGCAGGACTACATAACCTACCAGCGCTATGGCGACTTCTCCAAGTTCTTCGAGCCCCCGGCGACGGAGCAGTGGCCCACGGGCGTGCTCGCCGCCCAGACCGCCGTCAGCTTCACGTCCACGTCGCCGACGCAGATGTGGCGGCTGCCGCGGTCGCCCCCCAAGCCGCTCTCCTACTACTCCAACGACGACGTCTGTGTGTACCCGGTAAGCGGTCACGCTTCTAACCCCCGCCTGAAGGGGCTCAGGGCATCAGCTGATGTCACTGGCGAGCTTCTGGCCGGGAGGTCTTAGGGTTCCACTCACGACGGTGGCAGGATTTTTCGATAGTAGCTACATAGCTAGGTCGAATTCAGTTGCTGTCTGGAGGAGAATTCTCGCGCTGATAGGTAGTGTTTTTTTCGATGAAGTTCAGCTGTCTGCCGGATCTGAATGCCCTACCAAACGCGCCACGTACAGCGCGTGATCTTTCCTTTCTCCTCCTTGTCCTTTCCTCCTATCATACTCACATGCACTGCACTACCACACATATCGAGAGCTTATCCTGGTGCCTCTCTGGTGGGAGATATATGGTAGGGCAGAACCTGCAAGGTGACCTGTAGGTAGGCGCCGGATCTCGCCATACATCAACGAATAAATTGTGTTATATCTCGCTAATAAGCAGGAGTTTTATAAGTGAAACCAAAAATGCTTTCTATAAGCGTATTAGAAATATGTCTCGCATTTATAGTACGTACACTGTAACTCTGAACGCGAATACTGAATTCTATTTCTTCGGGAGGAGGCTGCAGATCATTTCAAATATCGAGCACAATTCTAGTACGGGTCCAAGACTCAATTGTCGATGAAGAATACAGATTTCGAAGTTTATTCGGCTACTTGATACAACTAAAGGGGCATTTAAAAGCGAAATAAAATAGCGGCAAACTGCACTCCCGCTATTGTGACACACACTATTTTTGTTACGTATCCTCCGTAGGTCTGCAACTGAATGCTTACCTTTATAAATGATGTCTAAAACTCACGTTTGGCAATAGCAGTTAGGTGTCCCATTTAGCCCTTCCGCACCCAGGCCTCCGAGATCTTCTCCACGGTTCTTCCTTCCACTTCCTTCCACTTCCTTCCTTCTTCCCTGCTTCCAGGAGAACTGGCGAGATCCAGAATCGTCCGAGTCGGGTCCGGCGATAGTGACCCCGTACGGCACCATCTCCCTGCGCCTCCACGAGCGCGTCCGCGTGGACATGACCATAGACCGCGCCGTGCGGATCATCAACCACAAGAACAACATCGTCATTTGCCTGAGCGGTTGCGGCTCGGCAGCCGCTCTCCTGCACCCCAACGGTCGCGTGTACCAGTACGGCAGTCGCGTGGAGATAATGGCTCATGACAGTGCCGGCAACAACAAGTAAGTCGAAGCTCGCACCCCCCTCCACTTCAGGTTTCTTTTACGGCTTTTATTCAGCCGACTGCCGGTTTCCCTTTACGTTCCGATGGGACGCTTATTCGACCATGCACTAGACCCCAACACATTTTACGGACTCCTCCGATCTGTGGTCAGCAGAACGCAAGGCCATCGCGACAACACATACATGAGCAGCAAGGAACAAACAATCGCGCCCAAGGCGGGACTCCAACCCGCGACCCTTCGAACTGAAGCACGCTCTTCCGTAACCTCCGCCATCCAGGATGGCCTTTTGGGAGTTATGAAGGCTTTATTCATTCGTGGCAGTTAGAACTCATGTAAATAAATGCTTTTCAATAAGTGTGGGTTTGGAATGAACTAAGGCATCATTGATCGGTTGAACAAAGGGTTCAAGTTCCGACGGTTGCAGATTTTCGACTCTAACTAGATAACTAGGTAGACTATTCTACCATTGCAACATGCACCACCCTTACAAAACTAGAAACCTTAGTAGTTGATGCGCTCGGATTGAATTCTGAGTCACTCACTCTTCGTCGCTGCAGTGAAGTGTGTTCGTGAACTATGTTGTTCAGTATTGTCAAAGCTAGCTCTTCCGGTGAATCGCAATATTTTCGCTTTGTGAAAAGCAAAGAGAATAGATGCAATTGAGAAGGGAATAAAGCGCTAGTGTACGTCCCCTCATCATTCTGCACAGGGACACTGTGATTGCCAAATCTGGGCGAGTTACCGACCACGGAAAAATTCGTCAATTACTAAACACGTTCTGTGGGTACCCGTGCCTCTGAGGTCGCATCGGTAAAGGAGGTATTGGAATTAAGCGGAGCATGATGGTGACTTTTTATACCTAAAAAGTTTCTCTTTGTGTATCTTGTTCACGAGATAGATAAAAGATCTTTAACCGTCCCATTTCCCAATCTCCAGGAGATAATCACATTTCCAATTGGCGCGGACTAGCCTACTTTTTAATAATTCTAAAGTGAAACCTAACTTAGGCGGTCATTCATGGTTTCAGAGATACATGGCCGTTCGTGCCTGACTAAGGGAGGTTTTGAGAATACTACGTGAAGCCTGCCTGCCTAACTTTGATTTTTGCACCGAAATGAGATAAATCATATGCTTGCATTGCTTGTTAACATATTTTTAACTATATTTAAACTGAAAAATACCGGAAACTTTTTTTTGCAAGTGCGCTCCAGAACTCGTGTATTAAATCATTCTATTTCCGGCATTTGCAGTCTTCATTTCATACCATTGACCATGATTTTTACCTGAAAAACAAATTGATCACCCCCGTCATATAAGCAACTTTTGCTCTCCCTGCTCTACGTTATCTGACTTCGCGACCAAGCGCATGAAGATATAGAATCAGCATTAATAATTAAATAATTCTGCTTCTCTTACTATTACGAATAAAAATCGCAAATTAGGAAGATGTGACCCCGTAATACTGGTTAATCTACAAAGTATACCTGTCAGCTGTTCGCGAGGCCAGTTGGCCGCTTAAAAGAGGAAAATAATTCACATATTGAAAAAAAAAATCAATCCCTCCAACAAAAAATAGCCGTTAGTTCAGGCGACCGCTTAATTGAAGTGGCCGTTTCAAAAGGTTTCACTGCAGCCGGTAGCCCATTGGTCTACGGATCCCCGGAGAGTTGCTTTTCTTCTGAATGAGAGACGTGGAGTATGTTTTTAAGGGCAAAAGGATCTAAGTTGTACAATTTGAAAATAATAATAATAATAATAATAATAATAATAATAATAATAATAATAATAATAATAATAATTAATAAAATTCGTTTAAGCCGCGAAAACGCACGCCCAAAAGAGTTTGTAACTGAAACTACGTGCTGCGAAAATTTGACAACTGTTAATAAAGGCCTAGAAAATCAGTATTTAAACCTTCCGCGAAGAGTTGTGAGAAAAAGTTTTTAAGCTCGTAAATAATAGAATGTGCTTGCACAATTGACAAATTTGAGTTTGCACAAGAAGGTCGAGATTCGTTACTGCTAGACAACTTTAGGGAAATCTAAAACTGAAAATGATGTAATAGTTTATTTTTACTTTTTAAATGCATTTAAAAAAGGTTAGTAAATATTTTAAAAATGGCCATTTACAACAAAATTTGTGAAAACGTTTCATTTTTCCTAATATGTGCCCATGTACTAAAAATGGTTTTATAAACATCCGATATAACAGGCACTTTCCTAAATATTCCATGTTCTATAAACCATTTTATTTTATGTAATAAACCCTTTTTTGTAGAAAAATATAAATAAATAAGATTCCCTTTTAAGCCACTCTGCCTCTAAAATATTACTTTTTTCACAGAACCAATAGTGGTCGCTTTTTATAGGTTTCATTGTAGATAGATATGACAAGTTTTTCAAACATTGGGACTATGATAAAATGACCTTTAGATACCTTCCAAAGCACGTATGCTGTGGAAAACAAAGAATGTCATTTTTTCTGTACAGATATGCGAAGATGTGGTACAAAGGAGTGAGCTTTACTTCTGAACAATGTGCATTGGTGTACTTAGTGGATGCTGCTGGTACACGTACAACCACAGATAATTTCTGTGATATGGGGCAAGACTTTTCATTACCTGTGTTCTACAATGACTCTCGTCATGGACCTTCATATTTTCAAGAAGCTGTGTCAATTCTCCAGAGCTCTCAGTACTGGGTAACTGAAGAAGGCATTGAAAACTGGATTGTTAATAACGTTAGGGTATCACAAACCCAAGATGGCCTTGTAAGGTATGAAACTTTAAAAAATATGGCAAAATGTATAGGTATTTTAGAATTAGACACACTTTATTATGCAAATATTTTAGATATGTATAATTCTGAAACATTAGAAGAAAATATATATTGTGCATTAAGTGTAGTGGATATGTTTATCGACAAGAATAACTTGGTTACTGTTATTCAGGGTGCCTAGGAAAGTTGAGCTTTTAGTAGAAAATATTGATAATATGTATTCAAATATTAATTCCTTCAAGAACAATTTCAAGAAATTTCATTGAGATGTGAAAAATGATAATATCCAAGGGACACCTTCCATACAACATATGAAATATAATTATGGTTTAGATTCAGTAGTCTAAGAATTAAGAACATTTTGTTGAAATGTATCATTGATATCTTAATTGCTCATGAATTTGTTACATCTTAAGCAATATGTGGTTCTGAAACAGGATAATGACAACTACTGAAAGAAGGTTTACTTACACTCACCAAATTTAAAGAACTCTGAAGATTTTAATATCAAAATTGCCCTGCTAAATTTTCTTAATTCAAGATCCTTAGTCTCTATTGATATTATATATTTATTTATTTATTTGAGATGAAAATTGAAGACATACTACAGGAAATCTTTTAGCTTTTCACAATTTTCTAATAATTGTGTTCAAATCATTTAAATGATGAAATAAAATTTAACTACCTATTAATAAAGCACCCACTTAACCTAGGAAAAAGTAACTGATTTGTAATCTATCAAAAAATGCCATTATTTTTTTAAAGAAAGAAAAAATCAATACTCCATGTAGTCAAGAATATGGGCATCTTTAATGAGTGTTTAATAAGGACATTCTGATTTCTGAGCATGTCACATACTTCAAGACTTGCCAATGTAGTCTTATTCATTAGCATTATTGCAAGAAATGCACCCCATTAATTTGAATTACAAGAAGCAGAAATATAGGCCAGTTCGTCAGATGACATTGTCGTATGTGCAAATTATTCCAAAACATAGTGTTACAAAAACTTTCATATAATGAAGTTTATCTTACAAGCTAACCTTTGAGGCAAAGAAGATTCAAGAGTTTCTTGTTACCTGAAGAAATTTAAATGAATCAGAAGAATGAACTTTTCTGTAAGATATATTGGTTCTATGTTCATGGTTGCTATGATAATTTCATTTGAACTAAATCAATTAATCTTTTTCAAATCTTATTCAACTACACATACGATTTATTAAGTATGTGAAGAAAATTTGATTAGATGCTATCTTGATTTTCTAATTGGTATTATTATTTAATAATGTTCTTATTTTAAACTGATTTATTCCAATATCAATTTTGTTTGAGTTAATTGTCGTACACTATTATCATTACAATACATATATGCAGTCATAACTATTCAAGAACATTGCAATTTCTGAAGTTTTATAACTGTAAAGTATTTTTTATCTTTTACTTATGCTGTGCATCATGTATTATGCAATATCTACAGTGTGAACTTTTGGAAAAAATTAATGTATGATAGTAAAAGATCAATTTCTGAAGAAATAAAAGAAAAATGACTGAAATAAAAATATTTCTACAAAAGGAGAAATTTGGGTTTATGTGAAAGAATTAACTCATTCAGAAAGTACAATCTAGATCATTTTCGCGTGAAAGAAAAATAGTATTGTGTTAAACAAAATTTTTGACAGCTCAAGATAACATACTGTTGAAGATGCTATGCATGCAGTTGCATAACCCAGAACAGGCCAAATTTGAAATAAATTCAATATTTGCTGAAAAAATGGTTTTAGTTCACATTTTCAGACACGAGTTGGAACTTAAATTATGTAAATATAAATTTTTGAGATGTTCTGCAGTCAAGAGAAGTAAAATCTCTGATTCACTAAAATGGTGCAAAGGAAACAATGAATCATGTATTATGCAATGTCAATACCAAAGGAGCAATCTTGTGTGTTATGAAGATTATAATATAGTTGAGGCAAACCAAGAACACAAACCTTTGTCATATTAACATGTAAATATGTACATATAGCATGTTCGGTATTTAGGAAATAAGTAAAATGACAAAATGTGTGTACATGAATTGTTCTACAAAAGATACCTGATAGCTGTGAGATAAATCCTTTTGAGATTGTCCCTTGTTATTATTTTTATATGGAAATATCTCTTGCAGAGTTGCTCGTAACAGCAACAAATATCAGCTGCGTACATCCCCTTCCAATGGTACTGCATCCCTCACTACCCCTTTCCTGCACTGCACTGCCTCCATGGGGCAAACTTCTCACCTCTTTGTTCGACGTGGTGAAAGACGCATGCATTATGATGGAGCCAGCTTCATCGTTCGGAATGCTGGTCATTCTGCAGGTTTTGATGAGAAGAACCAACTGAAGGTGTACTAAGGAGTTTGTCTTCAGTGAAGATTTTTACATTTCCCCGAGCAGCGTTATTACACTCTCAGCTTACTGCATGTATTGTTATTTGTTTCATCTCTACCCTTTGTTTTGTAAAACTATTGCAATATGCATTACTTCTACGTGTACCCGACAAGGAGTGAACAGTGATTTATCCACTAAGACAGTGCACAGTATTCAGTTCCAACAAATTTATTTTGTGTAATAATGATCATTTCAATTTTTGCTACCAACAACTGTAACATGTAATGTCATTTCAACAATAAAAGTATATAGTTGACTGTCATATTAATACATTTTTAATATACTTAACAGCAACATTTTACTGACTTTCAATATTACTTTTCTCTTTGTATTTTATTCCAAAATTTGACATCATTTGTCAGCAAGTTTTCATCTGCTCTAAGATCACTATTTATTCTGAAATATTTACCATTAGATTGTGTATATGCAGGCCAGGCAACATTGACATCAGAGTCCAAATTTGGTGTAGGGTTTCTGTTTGGAAAGAACAATGCATAATAATAATGAACCTTGGGAGTGAAGTTATCCAATTTAAATTGAAAATGTGAAAAAACATACCCTGTCTTTGCAAAGTTTGACCAAAGTTTCACCATTTTTCGTACCATATTGTAAGTTGGTGATTGAGGTTGCACATCAATATCCATTACATCCATTCGGAAGAGATACCCTAGATCATCTATGTGTGAAGCCCCTTCAGGCAAAAAAAGATGTACAGTAATGTCAGAGATGACACTTTTAGTTTAGTACAATAATGTTAGATCAGAATATATTAATATTACCTGGAAGAGATTCTGCTTTCAAGAATTTTTTGTAGAAATTAAGTTCTCCAACAAATTCAAAGAGGTAGTAGTACACTGGTTTGGATGATTTGCTAACGAGATAGTTGATAGTTTCCTGTATTCCATTTAAAAACCAAGTATGGGTAAAAAACTGCAATACAAAAATGGAGAAAACAATCAGCTTTATATATTCACTTCTGACACAAATTATACCAATGGAATAATATGCATTGGTGTGACAAGGATAGTTTTAAGTCAGTTATATAAATGGACTGAAGTTTTTACAGTTGTTGATTGGAGTTGTAACTGTATAGTTTGTCAAAGATAGGTACTTTTATCCTTTTTCCGTTACCAGGGCTCTATAATAAGAATTTTCGGCAGAAAAACTCTTATTATAGGACCCTAGTAATGAAAAAAGGATAAATGAAGTTGCTAAATTAAAACAAATCTCTAAAACATTATGTAGCTAGAATCCATGTTTTCTGTTTTCTGCTAAACCGTTCAGTCGATTTTCTCCAAACTTTTTTTATAATAATAATAATAATAATAATAATAATAATAATAATAATAATAATAATAATAATAATAATAATAATAATAATAATAATAATAATAATAATGAAAAAATTTGATTTTCCCAAATCGATTTGACTGGTGTCACGGCCCCTTGAATTTGAAACTGATATTTTAGTTTCAGGGGGTAGTTTATACGAAGCCTCTGGGATATTTTCAAAAATTAAAAAAAAAATGTCTCCTACGTTTTTTGTTAAATGGATAGTGTGAAGGACGTGTAAGAGAATGGTGCAGGTCTCATATTTGTTGAAAACCCTGGTTTTTCGAAGCTTGAAAAAGTTGAAAATTGTTTGGAAGTCTTCCTACAATTAAAGTATTAAAGATAGGCTCGCGCGATCTTGGCCCTTCAGCTAGGCCGAGTCGAGCTCCTTCCTATATTAAGTTCGGGTTCGCTGGAGAGTGCCGACATGAGTAACATACAAGTTCCAGGTTCCAGGCGCTGGTCTCCCGCATCTCATCGGGATCATTTGGACATTATAGGGTCTTAAAGGCACTTTTATTATGAACGTATAAGTGTGGAAAACGCACAAACATAAAACGCAGAACTGAAATAATTTAGCATGGGAATTATAGGAATTTATCCGGGACTTAACCAAAAAAAGTATAAAGATGACAAACATATGAGTGAGAAACGTATTAATAGAGTTTCACTGTACCTGGTCAACTTAGGTTACTTCAGCTAGTATGAGAATAAAAAACATTTATAAGAATTCATAGTATAACATCAAATTAACATTATAATGTGGCTTGGAAAGGTGTATAATAAACACAAAGATGGAAGTGGATTCGTAGTACCAGTAAAATTGTTAATGTCAATTTAAAGAACATGAAGAGGGAAAAAGTATGAAAATGCTCTTCAATATTAATTTTTATTTGTATATTTTTGTTATTATCCTTATCAGGTGTTTAGTACAGAAGTTATCTGTGCAAAGATTCTGTGTTCATTACAGTGTTTTGTTTACTGTGCCTGTTATTACCCATGCATATGAGGAGAACTATAAAATTATGACTAAATTTTGTTACAATATGATTGCAAATGTTACTCACATTGACAAGTTTTGGTAAATTACTCTGACTTAAATTTTCTCCTCCAAAATAGTGTTTCTGAATTTCTGGCACTATTTCTTTTCCCTTTTTACGAAATTCAGCTGGTAAAAGGTAGTAGAAGTTCTCATCAAGTACTTTCACAGTATCTGGATTTGCCAAAACATCTAAAAAAAATTAAATTGAATAACATTTCTCAAAAATGTAAATTCAGTATTGTTTGAAAAGTTATTTACCTGACATGAACACAATCCCTTCAGCATTCGTTATACCTGTCATATAAGGGACATGATTAAATTTTCCTTCCTTCAGTAAGTTAATTGGGTAATCAGGAAGAAACACCTCTTCATCAGAACCTCCCTTTATTTCTGGAACTGGCAGAAAGAATGCCAGTGTAAATGTCTTCTTGTCCTGTTGTGAAAAAGTAAATACAAGATTACTTTTTTGATGAAATGCCATGAATTATGTATGTTTCTTAATAGTTCAAAACATTATGAGAGTAAAAGTTAGGCGATTATTTATTTTGTTAAATATTTTCTGCCTACAAAGCCTTGTTGAAACAAATCTATCTTTGATGCAAATATTAAGAAGAGAAAAAATTATTACTTTCTTTATTTGCTATTTGTTTCAATTCGATTGAAAATTAGGCCCTACATGCATTCACTTGAAATAATTGAATTAAAATTATAGTTATCAGTTCTAATGAGAAATGCGCAAATCAAGATATACTAGTAGGTCCTATATATTTTTATTTAAGTCCTTAATACGTGACAAACAAAAACATAGTACATTAAGGAAAGATAAGAATTTTTGTCATTTGTATGGCGCCATTGACAAAAAGTCCTAAAAATGTGCTACTGGTCGTTACGGAATTACCTCCAGAGGTATGCCATTTAACCATTTAATGCCATGTCCTACTAATATGTAACCACATTTTTTGTCAACTTACGTTCGCACCAATTTTCGAAATTCATTCCTTCTCTAGACAGAGACATCATATATGAAACATATAAGCAAGTTTTTTTTCTTTCCAGTTTGGTAGATGTCGATTTAGCAGAGATCTCTTAGGCATGGTACACTCCTGGTCAGGACGTACCATGCTTAGCTGCTATATGCCTGTGGTGAAGTCGGGGGGAGACACCGAAGTCATCTGCAGCCAAGGTCTAACGGTTTTGCAACTTATAGAAAAAAATGCTGGATGTAGGCATGCGCTTCTCCTTCTTCTTACTACTTCGTCATTTTATTCATTGACACATTGTGAGATGATATCAGACAACGAAATTCGATAAAAATCCAAATAGAAATGGTTCAAAATAGTTTGATTTCGTATATTACGCTTTTAGAGCCCCTTCACACAGCAGCGCTTCCGAGTGACGCTGCTGCTGACAAAGCATTGAATTAAATTGAGGGGATTCACAGGAAAGGCACAGTGGCGCTGCTGTGGCCGTTAGATCGCGTCACCAGCAGCACAGATGCGCTTCCACGCCGGCGCTAGCAGAACACATTTTTAAACGGTAGCCTTCACAGTAGCTACTCGGAAGTGCCTCTGAAGTTCGCATTTAACGTGCTGACTGCTTTGCGGCACCCAGCGTGCACAGCGGTGACTCACGAGTCCTTCCTTTCCCACACCCAGTGACGCTGGTCGGTGGCTGTGTGAGAAAGGGTCGGCGCTTGCCAGTGGCGTTGCCGAGATGCTCCGTGTGAAGGCAGTCTTAGAAACAATCACACAGTCTTTGAGTTATGCAAAACGGATGTATTGGAAATAGAGTAATACGTTTCGGACTGAATTTGCGCCTGCTGATTTCTTAGTAGCATAATCTATAAAACTGTTTGATCCTCCCCTAGGGTGTAATTTTGCGGTAGTATTTTGTTTTGTGTCGATGTCTTTCCTTATAACAAAATGTGCAAACTTCTATTTCTTCGTCGTAAATCTGTTTGATGCAGACCTGAGAAATAATTCCATATCCAGCAGTAGCCCACTTACAGGGATTTCTGACGGTGTCTTATAAATCTTACAAAACATTCATATTTTCTTAGCGATCTGTTCGTAGTTTTTAGACGAACTGGGATGAGCATCATAACTGTTGTAGAAAGTTTGTAGTTGTGCGATTGCTCCACTTATTTGGCAAGTGACGAGCGATTGTTCGACGAAGCTCCAGCAGTGAGATTAGTTTGCTTGCTATTTGCGGTTCGCCAGAAATTCTTGGCGAGCACATCGCCCGCAGAGTGTCTGTAATATGCGTACATCAAAGGAAGAGAATATTCAGCGAGCATCTCGGCTACTTTGAATTTGACGAGCGGTTGCTTGCTAATCGCCGAATGTGTGGAATAGCCTACAGCCACGAGCATGAATAGCGGTGGGTTGAAGTCCAGTGAAGTTAGAAGTGTTGTCCACGTTTAGCAAACTCTTCTTTGAGTGGTTTAACATACTTTTGACGTTATTCTGCATCGTTTGTGATTTAATGGGATGGACCTTTATGTTCGACAACTAAATGTAGGGAACATAAATATTTTTGAAGCAAAATGTTCCTAATGGTCATGAAACCAGGCAGTGGTTGACACTGCTTTTGCAAACTTAAGCTCAACATTGACGTACTTCATATGTTCGTAACTACGCACCAGAATGAATTCGCTATTTATTCTGGTTTATGGTTATAAAAGTCAGAAATATGAGTTTGTAAAACCAGTTACCTTCATTTAAAATTGTGAGTAATGCTGCTACTTTGCTTCAAGAAATAAATTTATTTCCTTCAGACAACGAATCCGTGAAAAACTTTGGCCCCCAATCTAACAAACGTAGCTCAATAAGGAAGATCCTATTCTTTTTTGATATTCTTATCTTGCATAAAGGGCTTATTATAATTGCATGCGTGTCAATGGTGAACGTGAAACTATAGTGTACAATCGAAACACATCTCTTACGTTCTTGTACTAAATATATAATATGGAATCTCATTAAATCTAGAAACAGGCTATTCGTCCACCATTAGCATTTAGTAATTGCACAAGAACCCAAAGGAGGAGTTATCTCGAAAAGAGAAAAATAAATATGTCGGCTACAAAAAATACATTTTCAACACATAAAATATGTAAGACGGGATTCTTGTAAAAAATAGGTCAATCAATTTTTCCACAATGAAATTATTTGAAATAAAGATTAATAAGAATATAGTGTTTGCATAACTTGGAAATGCACAAGGAAGCAAATAAAATAATTACATGCCAATGTTTTTTAAATTACTGTGTGCCTCCTTTTTTAGTTATCAATAATATTGATTTTCATTGTGAAAATAATTAATTCTGAATTTACGCATGTAATATTGTAACGCATTACTTTGACTCTGGAAATGAAAGTAACTGCATTACTTTTTGTTAAGATTTTCTGATAATTTATATTTAAGAAACTTTAAACGTAGGTTTTTGAAATTACCTCTTCGGTCATCATTTTAGAGCTTGCTTCAACAATGTCTTTCGCACTCACAGTCTGCAGAAACTTCAGCAACTCTTTCTGGTCAGTAGTGTCACAGCCGAGTGTTTTGCCCAATCGTTGAGCACGTTCTCGGGCTTGCTCCGGGGTGCACAAAGCCCATGGGTTAAGTACACTTCCACTTTGAGCAATTCCCTTGTGAAACAACCCTGAGGTGAAAATACGAATGTGTTAGATGCTACCTTTACTCGAAAAATAAAATTTAAAAAAATGAAAAAAAAATGAAGAAAGCAAAGGAATATTGCGAGAACTTACATAAAATATCTACAAAATTGTGAATTTTCACCTACAAGGTGTTTCAAATTATTCTGCAGATCTGGCTTATGATAAATTTTTACATTATTTTCTTGGTGATGTTTTCTACTTTACCTTTCGACATAGGAGACAGTACATGATAGTTCACAGATGCACCTCCTGCACTTTCTCCAAATATTGTGACATTGTTAGGATCACCACCGAAGGAAGCTATATTCTGTTTTATCCAACGCAACGCAGCTGCTTGGTCTTTAAGACCATTGTTGCCTGGTACAGACGCATCGACTAGAGACAAGAATCCTGAAATGAAGATTATTATGTATCCATTTCATTCGTGTCGGGCTAAATACTATTCAGGGTGAGTCATTTCTGGAAGTATAAAAAATATACCGCCATACTATCCATCGTTGGATAAACATGTTTTTTATGGCTTCTTGCTGAGAAAAGCTTCATTTGTGTACAGGAGTTTCTTGACAATTTCTCTTCTATAACGTCCAGAGGGTTGTACTTGTGAGTAGAAGAGCCGAGAAAAGTTCTAATTATTACGTAAGAAAACTACTGTTTTTGGATATAAACGAAGACAAAGGGAAATTTGTGAATTGACTGTCTCGAGGTACAATTTATAAGAGCTGTATCGCGTGATCTTACTTTCGAGTTCGATTTTAGGCCGTTGAAACCTTAGACCGTGAGTCGGCCTGCGTTATCCCAGTGTACTCGCTGATTTATAATGACTAGGGGACGGATTTTAATGACACCTGTCAGCGCCATTGTCGTTTCGGCCAATTTCGGGATAACTAAAGACAGAGCTTTCCTGGTAAAGAAGTCCAAACTAAAAGTTTGCAAGCTAAGTGCTTTTGAACGAATAGATGCCTCGATTACTTCTGTAACATATCCAATAGTTTCAGTTGTTTATCCGAAGTGGTTTTGATAACATTTTTACATTTTCCTTTTAGGGCATAAAAAACAACCTTTTAAGGGGATTTTATTGATCATTTTTGGCAATGTTTTAGTTCATCAAAATCTGCCCCCTAATAATGACACTATCGACATGCAGAATATGCAACAGCGCGGCGAGTCTTGGGAATGTGTGTAAATATGTATAACGAACCTTAAAAAACATTTCTATGCAAATCTATGCTCCTGAGACAAAAATGATTAAAGGTTTATGTATTTTTATTCTTATGCGAAACCCGTAGATGTATTTTTTACCTCCTGAAATGACTCACCTGCATAATAATAAAAGTGGTGAAACTCAATACAAAGTTTACAGAAACAAATTGAAGAAATATATCTCTAACTCTAACCTAAAGCTCCAAGTCTGTAGTTTACGGTGACAAGCACAACTTCTGGAACTAAATAGGCAGGTCCATACATTTCAGTGTTACCAGATCCACCTACAAAAGCTCCACCATGAAAGAAAACCATCACTGGTATTTGTGTTGTTTTACTGCCTTCAGGTAACTTTCCAAAAAATTGAAATGTGTGAAAATCTTGCAACTTGATTAATCACATTATGGAATTTATTGATATTTTATCTGATGAAATCTTTACCTTAGGTGAATACACATTGAGAAAAAGACAGTCTTCTTCTCCTAAGAATGGAGTTTTCAGGATAAAATCTATCTGAGCTGAGCTCGGTCCCTCTTTCAAAGCGTCTCGTGATCCTTGCCATGGTTCTGCAGGTTGTGGAGGCTATAAATCAAATTATAGTTAGAAATATCATACAATAAAAACATTACTTCAGAGTTTGAATACCTTGAAACGTAATGGTCCAACGGGTGGTTTTGCGTATGGAATTCCTTGAAAACTATAGAAATTGTTACCATTTTTTGTTACTTTCTGTCCTCTCAGTGTTCCTTGTGCAACTTGGACAGTTGCATATTCTACTGCCTTTGAAGCCATACCTGAAACGAGACGGATTTGATTCATATTTCATTATATATTTGTTTATTCGTTTCACATCATTCAACCCACATCAGAATGCACACATCAGTATACCTTTTTAGTACATTCTACTTCCCATTTTTTAAACTGTAACTCAAACTATGCTCATAACACTAACTTATAAACATAGTTTTGACTGTGAGTCAGCAAATCATGCGACTTGAGTATTTGATAAACTCCCCCGGAGAATCAGATGCAATGAGCTGTGGACTAAAGTCCTGCGTTTAGTGGAAATCACAAACTTTTGCTTACATACGAAGGGGGGCCCAAAAGCAACCGGGTTTTTGTAATAAAAAATATTTATAACCTTTTTTACAAAATTTCTTCAGTAAAGTACTCTGTATTAGATCCTACACACTTATTAAGTCTTTTTTCCCACTGTTTGAAGCACCTCTGGATCTCTGCAACTTTGATATCGTTCAGTGCCGTTTGCGAAGCTGTTTTGTCGCCTCCGCATCATTAAACCGCTTTCCCATTAGATTTTTCTTCCTTCTTAAGAACATAAAAAGTCACACTGGGCTAGATCTGGGTAATACGGAGGGTGGGGAACGACTGACCACCCCTGAGTGGCCAAATAGTGGTTCTCAGATAACGACAGACCACACACACACTGCCTTAGGTGATGAAGGAGCCAGTCGCCTGATCGGCAAAGTTCCGGGCCTTCCCGGCGCCGGATCGGCAAAGTCCCCGTTTCCTTCGCTCATTGTCGCGCAACCGCCTTAAAACTCCCAAATAAAAGTGCTGGTTAACAATGTGGCTTAGGGGAACAAACTCCCGGTGCCCAATTCCACGAACATCGAAAAAGACAATTCTCATCATCTTCACGTTCGATCTCACTTGTCTTGCTTTTTTTGGTCTGTGGGAGTTGGGAGTCTTCCACTGGCTTGCTTGATTACTGGGTCATACGCATAACACCAACCCTCATCATCTGTAATGACTTTGGACAAAAGTTTGGATCCTTGTTTTTGCAAGTTCTGGTTCAAATGCTAGCGAATGTTTTTTAGTGCTCTGTCAGAAGCCGAGAAACAAATTTAGCGGCAACGCAACTCATTTGCAAATTTTCAGTCAAAATACGCTGGCATGTACTCCAACTCTCTCCTATCTCCTCTGGAATTTCGTCAATAGAAAACGACAATCCTCGTTATTTTTTTGGTGAATTTTCGCAAAGTTTTCATCCTTTCGAGGTGTTGGAGAGCGCCCAGAAAGAGCATGGTCTTCAACCTTTATCTCTTACCGTTTAAAGCTCCCAAACCAGTCAAAAACTTGTGCGACTCATAGCATCTTCCTTGAAAGTCCGTTGAAGCATTTGGTAAGCTTTTCTAACCGGCTTTTCAAGAAGGAACAAAATTTCAAACTCCCCCTTTGTTCTTTTACATCTGTAAAGAGATAAATAACTCTACGATCAAACGGGCACAAATTTCCTTCCGTTTCATGAAGGTTCCATACACCCCGCCTAGCAGGAGAATTCTCTAGTACGTCTACGAAAGGCAGCGCGCTGTCACTCCGGTTTCTTTTGGCCCCCTCGTAATTCTTCTCCTATCTTCCTATTTATCAATAGTCACGGTAACTCCTCTAGTTTTGATATTGTATTTGCCACAATAATCGGTTATATTACATTTTCTTTCTCCAGATCCATTTCAAAGACAGGTGTTGCTAAACATCCTCTTCCTCAAAGTTATATTGAGTGTTCCTTAACATTTTTTAAGATAAAATGAAACCACAACTGACCAAACGAGAACAGGATAAATAAACTCTCAAACGGTAGTGATCGGGCAAGTAACTACTCATGGCCACATGCACTGCGTTATCCAACTTACATGCTTTTAGTTCAAAGACAAAGAACGTTTAAATGAAAGTCAAAGATGGTGAATTTGAATCGAAGAGTTAAGATTTAAATTTCACTTTTACTAAGTTTTGATCTTAATGCCTATTGTTGGTTCTCGGTTAATAACGAGAAAATAGCGCAGCGATAATTCGGGCAAATTGCGACTGAGCATTAATCGAGCATTCAGAAAATTTCATTAATTACGAAACGCTTTTTCTTACTTTTTCCCGTATACGTACATGTAATGTGCGTAGAATAAGGAAAGTTATGTAATGCTGCGGAAAATCGATTTCGAAATTTCAAAAGAAATACACGTTTTGGGTTACGCTTCATCAAAACGTCCGTCAATCAATCTGTCTGTCTGCCTGTTCATCCGTCCGTCGGACGTCCGTCCCGTCCGTCCCGTCCGTCCCGTCCGTCCCGTCCGTCCCGTCCGTCCCGTCCGTCCCGTCCGTCCCGTCCGTCCCGTCCGTCCGTTTGCGTGCCGATTGTTTTCAAATTGAAGAAATACGTCCATTTCGCCTGAGTCGGAGTTCTGCGATTTTGAAAATGATTCTCTCTTCGCGGCCGGGGGCCGGGTCGGCGCTCCCCCCCTGCCATCAGCACAGAGCCCTTTCCACTTCCTGCCCCCCCCCCGCCTTCAGCACAGAGCTCTTCGGGGTCACCTGACAAGGTACCTCGCTGCTGTGATCTGTAACTGCTCTGCAATGTGTATAGCCTTAAGGAGGGGACCAGGTCCGTTTATGAAGCATCGTCATCTTTTCAGCAATCACAGGCCGGTTAGTCCAGCAAGGTTGACTTTTATCATAAATGCTGTCGCATCCAGGAAATAAATAACGCAACAATGTTTCCGTTTAGCGCAGCTAGGTTTTGTGTAACTATTGAAACCTTGTTGAGATTTTTTTTTTTTTTTGTTCAGTGTTGCATCTATTTAATACCAAGGTTAGAGTTAAGAGTGGATATAGCGAGTCACCATATAAAATCTAGAATACATTACAATGATGGGGTATTTAATAATGTGTCTACAACGTTTCGTAAGACCGTCCACAGAATACCAAATCGTGTCAAGTTATTGTACAACGGGAGATGTGCCAATGCAGAACTGGAGTCTAACCGTAGAACAAATTTCCAGGTGGAGCCGATGTTGCAGAGTTCCAAGAGTCATTTTACCCGTCCGGGTCTGTGCATCTCTCACTTAACTCCGAAGACCCAGTTTTACCTGTCCAGGTTTACACGACTAGGCTTACATCTCGGTTTAAGACAGACTTGACAAGGTCGCCGGCAAGAAAACCACCTTACTAGTATTGTTTTATATAATTTGTATTTTGGAAGTGTACACAATTCTTTACCAAATATTTGTACTCGATCCTTATCAAATAAACTATGGATTATCAGTTTTCGTTCCTGAGGTAATCTCGGCTACTCACCCAATGACCGCATAGTCACCTGATAGTCACAAATCTATATAAGAATAAGTTTTGTAAAGGTGTAGTATGTTCCTTTTTTGCGCAAAATATACAAATACATATTGTTGATAAATGTTGAACAACAATAGATTTACTCTTGTGCACTGAACGTATCATAACATCATTTTTATAAGAGATAACTAGAGCCTTGTAAACAAAAACAAGAACAATTCAAGCCTATAACACTAAAATTGTTACTTTTACAACAAAAATCTTATAGGAGCTTTTTTTAAAGACATTTTATCTACTTTAATTTTATGTAGATCATAATTTTCTATGGGATTGATAGTTATGTAGATGTATGCAAGAGAGTCGAAGAAGCCCCTTCAAACGATCGCCCCGCCCCCGGCCCACCCTTCCCTCCCACTTCAGGAATTTTAGTGTGTTTTGCAGTAGGTTCCAACAAACAATCGTGCCAAGTTTCAAGTTCCCAGACGTATTCCTTCGACCGCTATTTTTTCGTCTAATTTGACGGGGCTATTAGCGTTTGTCCGGGTTGGGGCGGTGCCCCGCTGGTGAGAGATACACGACCCCCCCCCCTACCGAGCGGACGACAGTAGGACGGTGCCGGTTTTCACCATCTATCGGGCGTAAAGAAGGGCGAGGAAAAAAACAACATAGTACATAGTACACTACACGTACGGAACTAGTGCCCTTAGCAGTTGACGTGCCTGTGATCACTAACCAATCGTACGTGTATGAGCCTCTTATCGCATAGAGCGCGGGTGTGTCGTTCACTCACCGAGATAAGAGGCGCGGCGCGGCGGTCGGCGGTCTGGAGCGGCGTCGGCGTGCGACCGCGAACTGCCTGCGCGCCGCGGTCGGGTGCCCGCCCCTCCCAGTCGCGCGCGTCTTTCGTAGGCCGCGTGCGGCAACCTGCGGGTGGGGCGCGCGGGTAGCGTTGCGCGAAGCGAGTTCTTCACGGAGGCGGAGAGGGGGGAGTGGCCTTCGCGTCCTGACCTCTGCGTCCCGCTGCGTCACGCGGAGTGACCAGGCAGGATCGCTTTTTATCTGCTTTTCTCGTTTTATCACTTCTGTCACACTCGCTATCCACGCGAGCGGATTGAAGGAACAGAACCGTCATTCGTGTGAGCTCTCTAGGAACGTGTCTAGGAACTTTTTTTTTTGCGCGGTTTACGTGGTTGCCGCCACGACTTGTTTCTCTCCTTTTCACTTCCCTCTGCCACTTCAAAGCATCTACAGGAAAATATCTATTGCATTGGTCTTTCTATATTTTCCTTCGACGTGTGAGTTGCACAATTGTTCTCTCTTATAGTAGTTCTCTATTATAGTGTAGATTTTGTTGTAAAAGTAACCATTTTAGTGTTATAGGCTTGAAACTTTCTTGTTTTTATTTACGACAAGACCCTAGTTATCTCTTATAGACTAGTTTCGTTTAGCATGGTAGTGGAACGGTTCTCCATCATGCTCCTCACTTAACATCACTGGTAGTTCTTAGGTCTTCATGTTAGGTGATCATGTTGGGTATAGGATTTCGTTGCTCAATGCTTCCGGTCTCGAAAAGCGGCGGCTGGTGGATTCCGTATTAGTAGAGGCGGCATGTGTATCCGAATAATGACGTACCTATTAGCTCTTAAAAATGTCTTGAACGAGGGCTCACTGTGGCTTGTAGTGTACGACCGACTTGCAAGCAATGGGATTTTAATTCTGTCTTTACGTTGGACGTGGAAGATACAATTGATATTACTAGTTTAAGAACTGTTTTGATTAGGGATATTTCAAATATTTAACACATGTTTTCGGTTTTTCAAGCCACATACAAGTGGCCAACAGCTTATTCTTTTCTTCACGACTTTGGCCATATTTTTAGCCTATTCTATTCAGCATTCTAGAAAAAACGTATCTCGGAGGGTTTGAAAGTACAGAAAGTAGTGATATGTAATGCATTACTATTTTACCTTTCCATCACAAGTTGAACCGTTTCGACTTAAGTTAGCGTATTGACGTTAAAATTAATCATAATTATGTAATGAAACATATTATTAAGTAATTTTAAAAATTTCTGTTTGAGAATAAAAATTTAGCCCTTGTTTTTCATGGGACAAACTGAATAGTTTTTCATGAGTACTGAGCAGTTTTTATGATAAAGCACAATATATTATATAGTAACAAAATATAAAAATTATAACCAGTCTTATCATTTTCATTAAACATATGCTCCTGAAGAATGTCGAGAATATAGCTGCCCCTTAGTCACTTCTAAAAATAGTATATGTAATTTATACATCAAAATAAAATTCTTAGCGGTTCTAAAAATTTTTAATCAAAGTAATAACATCCCAAAGTATTTTACAGGCTACTCCAAAGGTCTGTTCTCTCTTAGTGCATGTGTTTTGCTACACAGTGCTGTGTCAATATTTAGATATGCTGGATCTTCTGACAAATAGGCAGGACATTCCACATCAACTGTTTCATCAAGTGTTGGCGTTGGGTTACTGTACTAAGAGAATTGAATAAGGATCTTCAGCCTTTAAAGTATGAAAGTTAATATGAAAAAATTGATTTACAGACAAAAAACCTTTGTAGTGTATTCCTAATGTCCATAAATCTCACTTTGCAAAGTTTGTTCGTAGTTGCTCCATATGCATCAGTGTTAATATTTCTGGCAATTTTAATCAAGGTTCATAAGTGCGGTAGTTCATCCAAATAAGTAGCATCTAAAATAGTGTTGTAAAATATATTTCATACAGTGCTGATTTAATAATAAAATGAACTGCATCAACCCCAGAAAAATCACAATATAATATATAATAACAAAATATAAAAATTACAATTAGTCTTATCATTATCATAAAACATATGCTCCTGAAGAAGATATGAATAAGAACCGTAAAACTGGTGACTACTGATTAAACAGCTTAGATAGCACATTTTCACAAAAAAAGAAAAAAAATCATTTGTCTGAGGATAGCGTTTGTGATTCTTTGGGGGAATTTATCAGCTAAATTTAATTTGATTTATGCAGTTCTGTATTAAACACAGTGATCTTTAAGTTATTTGGATTTCAATTTTTTACCACTTGTTATAAAACTTTATTTACTTTAGGTCGCTTTTCAACTACTGAGTCGCTAGCGCCCTCAGTCACATTACCAAATAATTAAATCATATATAACATACGTAACATCATATATAACATTGGTATTTGCGCGTGTATAAGACGCACTTTATTCACTTCAGTAACTCGTCAAACAACAGGATGCGTCTGGCGAAACAGGAGAACTGATGGGAATTTTGGGGTTTGAATATTTAGCATTTGGCATTACAACAATCTAATTTTTGAGCATTGAAAAAATGAATTTGTATTTCTACCTAACTGATTATTACAGAAAAGTACAAAAGTATTGAAGTATTGAAAGGAAAGATTGCTTATAATTTTGATGGGTCAACGGCATGGTGTAGAAAATTTATGTAAAGGCAGGCCTTTCCACGCGTACTAGAAAAATATCATAAAGACTGCCGACGGAATAGGAAGAAAAATCATAGATTTTCACGGGTCACAGTTTTCATTCCTTTCATAAAAATAAAATTCAAATGTAAAATTTAATTAGAGAATGAAATAATTTTTGAAAATAGGGATGCGTCTTATACATCGGTGCGTATTATACACCGGTAAATATGGTACTTTTACATAAACAAGGATTGATTTTAATATATTAACAAACATTTTATTCAATCATATCAACAATATTATATATATTTACCCTTATACCAAGTGAAGAAAGATTTAAACATTTTAACAGATTTGTTTTTTGCATTTCACCAAATATTTGGATTTAACATATATTACCATTACACCAACAAAAATTAATTTGGACGTATTTTGGCATTACATTAATTTTTCAAGTAGAAAATTCCGTAATAGATGATTCACAAGGGGAGATGACACATTGAGGTGACAAGTCATGGGATACCACCTAATTTTATGTCTGACCTCCTTTTGACCGGGGAAGTGCAGTAACTCGTAGCGTGGACTCAACAATTTGTTGGAAGTCCCCTGCAGAAATATTGAGCCATGATACCTCTATTATTATTATTATTATTATTATTATTATTATTATTATTATTATTATAGTATTTTTATTATTGAAATTGCCTAATACATTCTAATTTCACACGCAGAAGCTTCTAAAATCATAACCTCATAGGTTGGAGAAGTCTCTCAAGAATCAGAGATAAACTAGTTCTTCTATGGCTGTCGATTCGTCCTAATTGACATTTGTTCTTGAAGTGATCTGTCTGGAAGGAATTAGTTTAGTCTTAATGCTACTGTATTCTCTTGAGTACATCGCACTATTGTTCTGCAGTCTTGGAACTATGATCAATTATCTATACACTATTTGCGTGATACTTCTATTATTTAGTACCATTTAAAAGACCTTTCTTAATATCAAAGGGGTACCTTAGGTATAATTTCGTTGTGCCCATTGTAATATTCTGTTGATGGGCGTGCTGTAATATTCAACCCATTTGAAACACCAGAAAACAACCATCGGTAATACGAGGGCAATCCAGAAAGTAACTTACATTAGGGAATAGCGTGGAGATGTGTAGAAATAGAACCGCCCTCTAGGCGTAAAAACGTTTCTAGACGCGTGCATCAAGCTGTCGTAGCATGTGAACTGTGATTTTTCTAGTTTGTTCGTTACGAATTAATGAAATCTTTGCTTCAATAGAAATTTCTGCGCGTAGTGAGGGCCTTCAGTGATTAGGTTTTTACTGGCCAGAAGTCTCACACCAATTGAATCCATCGCAACAATTAACTCACAAATATATTGTTTATTTAGCACAAAAAGTGTTTTACATTTATGAAGGCGACCGGACTGGTCTTTTGTACGTACGTCTACGAAATAGATGAGTAATTTTCGAAATAAAGGTGACAAAAAAGTTAATAATTTGAAATCCATGGACAAGTTGAGTTTGTGAAATGCCTCACAAAGTAATGAAAAACTGGTGGCAATATTTTTATTTTGGGGAATACTGTACAAAAGAAAACTACTTCTACACATCTTGAAAAGAAATATAATAATAATAATAATAATAATCTATTAATTATTTGTATTAATTATAGTAATATAATAATACCGAATAATAGTTGGCTCTGTTGGCCGGGAAGCGAAAATAATCAGGCCTTGGGCTATGACTGGCCGAATGTGGCGGTTTAGTATTTGTTGAAGTAGCCTGTAGTCATCTCTGCAATGGGCTGATTATTGAACTATTTTCATCGTCTGCAGGCTTGGTCTTAACAATTGGCACATTCAATCAATGCAAAAGGCTGTTCTCCTGAGTACTGCACGCATTGTGAGGAAGTTTTTATTGTTATAACTAGATTGAATCCTGACCGCCCGAGTTTGCAAGCAAAGCAGGCACCTTGGTTCTATAAAGATCCCGGTGTCTGCTGTAGGCAATTCGCTAAGCGAGAGACTTGAAAGAAATAATAATATAACTATACAGTTTTAGAACAGGATAACAGACATATTGCTGAAAATCTGCAATAAAAATTCTTGCATGTCCTTTTTAAACCACCCAAATTCCTTACGACAACACTTATTTCGTAAATAAAAATGAGGTTGATTCAAATGAAAAACCTTAAGTATGTTTGATCGACTGAGGTTAGCTCACTGCCACCGTTACCGCACTCTTGGCAGCAACTCTGACCGGGAGGTCCTAAGCTTCTTGTCTCGACCATGGTGGATTATAGACACTAGCTATATAGCTAGGTAGAATTCAGTTGCTGTTTGAAGGAGAAGTC